GTTGATGTGCGCACGGGCCCGAGCCTGGCTCCGGATCCGTGAAACGCACCATCCTGTGGAAGGGCACCATCTTTTGGATTGGGATCCAGGGATCGAGTTGGATTGACGACAGATCCGAAGATGACAGTTGGTGACCATCAAGGCCCCAAGGGGTAAATTCTGTGGTGAGCTGTAATGTTTGGCCACCGTTAGAACCCTCGGGCTGCCTCCCTCCCTCCCCTCCCCCTCTGGTGCATTTTGCCGGCTGGTGCATTTTGTTTGCTGGTGCATTTTGCGGGCTGGTGCGCTATTTCTCCGTATCCCAAATTAAGGTTGCCAACCGGGTTCTTAACTATTTGGTTGGAGGTTGGTGCCTCGGGAGGCTACTTTGCCCGTTCCTCGGATGTTCCCCTAGTTCCTCGGAAAGAGCGCGTTCTGTGGTCGCTTGGGGGGGGGGGGAACCAGACCCCCCACCCTCCCCCCCCCTGGATGAAGAAGGGGGGGGGGGGGGTTCGAACCCCCCCCCCTTGCCGTCACGGAAAGGGGGGGGGTTCGAACCCCCCTTTTTTCCCTCCCTCTCCTCTCTCTTTGGGCCGGCGGTGGCGGCGGGGACGACGATTTCCTTTTCTGGGCCGTCGCCGGCGCCTGCGGCGGCGGGCGGCGGCGGCGGGGAGCGTCGACGAGGACGACAGTGGTGGTGGTGGTGGTGGTGGGTTGTGGTGGTGGTGGTGGTGGCAGTGGTGGTGGTTGTGGTGGGTGGTGGTATGGTGGTTTGTTGTGGTGGTGGTGGTGAATGTGGTGGTGGGTGGTGGTGGTGGTGGTGGTGGTGGTTGTTTGGTGATGGTGTGGTGGTGGTTTGTTTGTGATGGTGGTGGTGGTGGGTTGTGGTGGTGGTGGTTTGGTGGTGGTGCGGTGGTGGTTTTGGTGGTGGTGGTGGTGGTGGTGGGTTGTGGTGGTGGCGGTGGTTTGTGGAGGTGGCGCTGGTAGTGGTGGTGGTGGTGGCGGTGGTGGTTGTGTGGTGGTGGTGGTGGCGGTGTGGTAGATTGTGGTGGTGGTGGTGGTAGTGGTGGTGGGTTTTTGTGGTGGTGGTGGTGATGGTGAGTTGTGGTGGTGGTGGTTGTGGTGGTGGCTGTGGTGGTGGTGGTTGTGTGGTGGGTTGGTGGTGGTGGCGGGTTGAGGCGGTGGTGGTGGTGGTAGTGGTGGTGGTGGTGGTAGTGGTGGTAATCGTCGCTGCGTCCCCGCCGGCGCCAGGGGGGGTGTTTGAACCCCCCTTCTTGGGTTGCTCTGGTCATCGTCGCTGCGTCGCCGCCGTCGGCGCTGCTGGCACCCGCCAGCGCTGGCACCAGCGCCGGCGCCGAAGGGGGGGGGGTTGAACCCCCCCCCCTTGGGCTGCCTCTGGTCATCGTCGCTGCGTCACCGCCGTCGGCGCTGCTGGCGGCCGCCAGCGTTGGCGCCGGCCGAGGGTGGGGGGGGTTTGACCCCCCCGTTGGTAGGGGCGGGGGGGGGTTCGGGAGGGGAGGGAGGTTGGGGCAGGGGCGTCCTCTTGGTTTTGATCGACGGCGCCGACCGAGTGTGGGGGGGGGGCCACCCCCAGGTTTTGAAACGCGCCGCCGAATGTTCCCAAGGCAAGCGCCCGTGAAACGCGCTCTCTCGTTCCTCGGTTTCCCCAGGTTCCTCGGGTTCCTGGGGTTCCTTGGGATCCTCGGGCTCTTTGGTTCTTCGGTTTCCGATGCCAAGCAGTGCCAACCCATGCCGAGCAATGCCAAGCGATGCGCCCAGCGATGCGCCCATGCAAGATGCTTTCCCCGAATTGGGGTCGAACCAGGTTCATTCATCGTGTTTTCACCATGAGTTTACATTAACCTCTGGTTGGCGACTCCTTACTGGAAACCTCCTTGCAGGACGCTAGAAAGAGCTGTCGTTGCAGGATCGCCACGCAGCAGCAGCCCCATTTGTGCATTGCGACCCCCGCGTAGGCAGTTTGATCCGATACGCGATCTGGCCATGGACGCCGGTCGAGAGTTCCAGCAGCGCTGCGAATCCCACCAGACGTCCGATTGGCGAGTCCCTGTTGGGAGCCTTTTTGCAAGTCTTCAGTAAGCAGAAGTATTTGAGCAAGCTCGCAACTCTGGACTTCCAAGATCACTGTACGGCGCAAGGACATGGCAAGACCGCTAGAGAAGGGCCTGGCTCCAAGAGGGCGTCAAAACGGCCCAACAGGGCACCATGACGGTCGACGTTTCCCGTAGAACGGCCCGGGAAACCTCTCAAACCGCCCTTAACAGGGGTCAGCAGGCTTCGAGAGCCGTGCGACCAAGACGGCCCTAACGACCTCTCCGAGCTCGCCCCAAGACGGCCCAAAAGAGCCCCCAAGAGGGCCCAATATGGGCCTAAGGCAAGTCAGGAGGGCCCCAAGAGGGCCCCCAGAGCGGCACAAGATGTGCTAAGAGGGAATCGAAGGACCACAGCACGCCCCGAGGGATCCAAGTGGACCCCAATACGGCCCAAGATGGGCCCAAACTGGCCCCAGCACGGCCCCAGGAGGGCTCTATGACAACCCAATAGGCGCCCCCCAAAACGGTCCCGAGGCTTCCGAGATGGCCCAGGCTGCTCCCAAGACGGCTCCAAACACGGACGCCAACGGCCCTCGATGCCGCATCTCCAGCAGGGGCCCAAAAGGCTCCAAAACGGCCGAGGCACGGCTGGAGGTGGCGCGGAAGCTCTTCAATAATGCCCCCCGAAAAGCCAGAGACATCAAATTGGAGGCCTTGCCGGTGCGACCGGGATAGGTTTTCACGCTTGTGTTGCAGGTTGATTTGGCCCCAGATGTGTGGCCGGGAGAAGAGGGGGTGGCTTTCGATACTCCGTGGTGTGGCCCTGGTGGCATGCACTTCGAAGCCAGTCTCGGGCACAGTTCTTCGTTGCTGAGTTCCTCCTCCTCCTCCTCCTCTGGTCCTCGGGTGGATCTAAGGAAACGCAAGGAGCGTCCAAGAAGCCCCAGTACTCCCCGACACGTCGCCAGAATCCCAAAAGATAACTGCCGCAGGTTTCGCTACCACCGCAGAGGGATCTCCAGAATCGCCACTGCACTCCTCGTTGGCAGCTTGCGATACGAGTTCTTTGGGCGCGGCTAGAAATTAAGCGCGCGCGAGGCGCGCGCGTGGCCCCGTGGTTGGCCAGTGATTCGCCCGTGGTTGTCCCGTTTTTGTCCCGAGGTTGTCCCGTGGTTGTCCCGCGGTGATCCCGTTGTTGTCCCGTGGTGATCTCGTGGTTGGCCCGTGGTGATCCCGTGGTGATCCCGTGGTTGTCCCGTGGTTGTCCCGTGGTGATCCCGTAGTTGTCCCGTGGTGATCCCGTGGTTGGCCCGTCGTGTTCCCGTGGTGAACCCGTGGTTGCCCCGTGGTTGTTCCACGGTTGTCCCGCGGTTGTCCCGTGGTGATCCCGTGGTTGTCCCGACGGTTCTCCCGTGAGTGTCCCGCGGTTATCCCGCAATTGGCCCGTGGTTGTCTCGTTGTGATCGTTCGGTTGTCCCGGGGTGATCCCGTGTTTGCCTCGTGACTGCCCCGCTTTTGTCACGCGGTGGTCCCGCGGTCTTCCAGCGGTTGGCTTGTGGTCATTCCGCGGTTGTCCCGTGGTTGGCCCGTGGTTGGCCCGTCCCGCGGTAGTCCCGCGGTTGTCCTACGGTTGTCCCGCGGTTGTCCCGTCGTGATCGCGTGGTTGACCTGCGGTTGTCCCGTGGTGATCCCGTAGTTGGCCCGTGGTGATCCCGTGGTTGGCCCGATATTGTCCCGTGGTTGTTCTGCGGTTGTCCCGCGGTTGTCCCGTGGTTGGTTCGTGGTTGTCCCGTCCCGAGGTTGTCCCGTTGTTATCCCGGTTTTGGCCCGTGGTTGGACCGTTGTTGTCCCGAAGGGATTCCGTGGTTGCCCCGTGGTTGTCCTTCTGTTTTTCCGCGGTCAGCCTGCGGTTGTCCCGCGGTTGTCTCGTGATGATCCCGTGGTTGTTTTGTGGTTGACTTGTGGTGTTCCCGTGGTTGGCCCGTGGTGATTCCATGATGTGACAGTGGTCGTCTCTTTTACTGTACCGCGGTTGTCCCGTGGTTTTTCTCTGGTTGTCACGCGATTGTCCCGTGGATGCCCTGCGGTTGGCCCGTGGTTGTCCCGCGGTGACCCCGTTGGTCCGAGGTTATCCCGTGGTTGTCCCGTGGTGATCCTGTGGTTGTCCCCTGGTTGTCCCGTTGTTTGACTGAGGTGTTCCCGTGGTTGGCCCCGTGTTTTTTCCACGGTTGTCCCGTGGTTGTCCCGAGGGTGCCCCGTGATGATCCCGTGGTTTGCCCGTGGTTGTCCCGTGGTGGTCCCGTTGTTTGCCCGAGGTGTTCCCGTGGTGATTCCGTGGTTGGCCCAAGGTTGTCACGTTGTGTCACGTTGTGATCCAATGGTTGTCACGTTGTGTCCAGTGGTTGTCAAGTTGTGATCCAAGGGTTGTCCCGTGGTGATCCCGTGGTGTTCCCATGGTTCTCCCGAGGTGATCCCGAGGTTGGCCCGCGGTTGTCCCCTGGTGATGCCGTCGTGTTCCCATGGCTGTCCCGTGGTGATCCCGTAGTGATCCCGTGGTGGGCCCGTGGTTGTCCCGTGGTTGTCCCTCAGTTGTTCCGTGGTGATCCCGCGGCTGGCCGGGCGGGTGCCCCACAGCGTTTCGGCTCGATTTTCGGCTCTCCGGCAGCATCGGAAGGGCCCCCGCCCCTCGCGCCACAAGCGCGCGAGTGCCGAAGTCCCGCCAGCTGCCTGCTTGGGCCGCCCTCGTTCTGCAGATCCCGATGACCAATCGGGGACGTCTGGAGCCGCCTCCTCCCGTGCCCTCGCCTCGGGGCGCGAATTCACGGGGGGGCGATGAACAGGGGGAAGAAAGGTGCCATTTTCGGCCCCTGAATGGCTCCCGTTCTGCCTGCCTCGCTGCCCCCCCATTTATCACCCCCCATAAATTCGCGCCCTACGCCTCCTGCTCGGCCACGCCTGGAGTCGCAGCTGTCCACGGGGCTGTCGAGCCAGGAGCTCGACCTCAGCTGGCGGCGGCAGCCGTCCGCCGAGGCAGGCGCGGGGCCGTCCACGTCGCTATCCGACACGCGGAGCGCCGGCAGCTCCCCCTGCGCCAGGCCGAACAAGGTGCAGCTGGACCAGCTTCAGAACGCGGCCGCGTCCAGCAGCAGGGACCCCCAGAAGGACTTCTACCTGGCGGTGGACGACATGGACACGCACGGCCATGGAGGAGAGAGGCCGCTTTCCGCAGCTTCCGCTGCGGCGTCTGGCTTCATAAACTTCATGCTGATGTTCGGTCTCTGCTGCGCGTACGGCCTGATCATGTTCGATGGCGAGACAGCGATGATGCACCAGGCGCTAGGCGTGAAGATGAACCTTTGCACCGCTGCCTTTGTCGGCCTTCTGGTTGCAACGTTTTCCAGGATACCGGTTGCCATAGCAGGCCCAGACCTGAACCCTGTTGTATTCCTCGGGTACTTCGTCAAGGCCATGTCAAGCGAGATCGGCAAGTCCTTGGGCATGAGTTACCCTGGCGTGGACTCCGCCTGTGGGCGCAGACTGGAGGAGGGCGGCTCCTCGTCGTGCACCTCGGGCAAGCCAACCTTCTGCGGCGGTCATGACGGCAACACCGCTGAGCAGTGCGACGCGTATCAGCAGCAGCTTGCGACCACCACCATATTCGCTGTGGCAATCTCTTCCAGCCTGCTCGGGCTCGCGTTTTTCCTCATCGGGCGCTTCAAGCTAGCGCGCTACGCTAGCTTCGTGCCGACGGCGATTTCGGAGGCATTCCTGTCCTGTGTCGGGTATAAGGTGTTTCTCTATGCGTTGAAGTACAGCAACAACGACCCGAAACAGTTCATCCCCGCGGCGTGTCTTGGTGTGCTGTTATTTTTCGTGAAGGCTCGTCACTGGGGCAACCCAGCCATAGTAATCCCGTTAATGCTCGTGGTGCCTCTTGGGCTATTTCACATGTGCGTATATTTCGGAGTGTTCTTCGATGGCCTCAGTGATGCCCGTGAGCAGCAGTGGATGTTCCCTCAGATGGATAACGTTGGTTCTGGAGGCTTGCGCCATGCCTAGAACATGTGTTTGTTTGGTGTCGTGATTGCTGTTTTCCACTTCTGGTCTTGCTGCTTGCGTGTAGTTTTTGCCGATTCGTCCTCCTTTTCATCCGTGTCTGTTGCGGGGTTTCGTGGGGGCCTCTCGGAGGCCTACCTATGGGCCGGGCTTGTTCAATTCGGCGGCGAGCAAGGGGAGGAAGTGAGGATGGGCGGGCCTCCTCGGAAGGCTCGGAAGTGCCCCAGCCTTCTGAGAAGTGGGCTAATCTTTCCCCGAAGATGCAGGAAACTTCTCAGAAGGCGCGAGGGTTTCTGAGAAGTCCCGCCGCCTTCTGAGAGTGCCTTCTCCTTCTCAGTTCCCCACCTCGCTCGCTGCCGATCGATGCTCCCGGGAGCTTTGGGGGGACATGTTGGGGGCCTCTTGGGGTCGTCCTCCCCCTCTTCCTCCTCCTCCTCGTTCCATCCCTCCTCCTCCTCCTTCTCCTCCCCGCCCCCCTCTCCCTCCTCCTCGCCCTTCTCCTCGCCCCCCTCCCTCAAACTGGAGGTCTGGGGTGCAATCTTGCGGGGGAGGGCTCCTGGGACGTCTTCGGGGCTTCTCTTGTGCCGCCTTGGCGCCATCGTGGGCCATCTCTGGGCCCTACCATCGGGGGAACGCAAGACGCGAGTCTGCCCAGAACTCTGGTTAGCCGACGCTTTTCGACGAGCTCGTCATGGATTTTGACGATCCAGTTGTCGCGGGATGTTTGCAGCGAGAGCTCGCGTCCAATTCCATATTGGGTCTCGTAATTTGCTTGACGGGCCCGTCAGGCCAACCGGAGTCCCCCGAACCCGAATCTTACGTCTCCCCGATACCGGTGGCTTCTTGGGGGGCTAGTCTCGGGGAAACGTAAGACTCGAGTACGCCAGAATTCGGGTTTGTCGACGCTTTTTGGCGAGCGCGTCCCAGATTTTGACGGTCCAGTGTTCGTAGGATGTCTGCAGCGGGAGCTCGCGTCAAATTTCAGACTGGGCCTCGTCATTTTCATGATGGGCTCGTCAGGCCAACCCGAGTCCCCCGTACCGAGTCTTACGTCTTCCCGATCGTCTCAGGGGACTCTCACACCGTTTTGGGCTTGCAGACGCCCGAAAAGGCGAGAACTCGAAGATACTTCAAGCAATTTCGCAGAAACCATATCTGCTGTCTCTTGAGGCCATCTCGGAGGTCCTCTTGTGGCCCTCGTTCCGCGCCTTGGGCTATCTTGGGTGTTCTCGGGGCCTCTCCGGAGTGGTGGGGCATTTCTGGAGCCATCATGGAGAGTATTTTGGGCATTTGGGCGACCACGGAGTTGATTTGAGGCTCCGAGGGCCCCGGAGATGCGTTGCTGGGCTCGCCCCCCCCGCGTCCCCCAGGGGAGTGGGGAAGGGGGAGGGGTGACAGCCAAGCATCTCACGCGCCCTCTCACCCCTGGCAAGTGGGAGTCGGCGGAGTTCTGGCTCATGTGGGCCGAGGGTATCTACGATGGTAGCGATGTCAAGCTGCAGTACATCAATTGGAAGGCATGGGCCTCAACTGTGCCCGATCTCTTGACCATGTTGGTCGTGGTATTGATGGACTCAATGCTCAAGGTCAAGAACACCGAGAACAAGATGCCCATCGTGCCGCAGGCAGACTACGAGGTGCAGCTCTTTGGAGGCTGCAACGCCCTGATGGCCGCCTGCGGCGCCCCAGTGGGCTACATGCAGCTCAAGTTCAATGTGATCAATTATGGCATCATAGGGAATACCAAGGACCGCCGCTCTGGAGTCGTGTATGCTATGCTGTGTGCCGTTACGTTCTTCTGGACCATCGAGCCGTTCAACTACATGCCGCGCTGGTTCCTGAGCACGCTACTGTTCTTCGCTGGCGCCGGCTTCGTGGCGGAAAATTTGTGGGGATCCCGCAAGTTCTTGTCCCACGCCGAGTGGCTCGAGATCCTGTTCATCGTAGTTGTCTTCATCGCCACCGACGCGCTTATCTATGCTGTCGTTGCCGGCTGCTTCATCACAGCCGTATCATTCATATCAAAGTATGCGAAGGTGCCGTGCATCGCAGGACCGCCCGCTAGCGGGGGCGAGATCGTGTCGTACGAGCGCAGAGGTCCCCTTGTGCAGCTTGGCATGCAGCACATCGCAGACAGCTGGTTCATGGTGGTGCGCCTGAAAGGCTTCGTCTTCTTCGCCTCGGCCAAATCAGTTGTTGCCGAGGTGATGGCCAGACTCGACACGCATAGAGAGTTCATCGCCACCATCGACCGCACCTCTGGTGCGAGTTTCATGTTGGCCAGGGCCGACGGCGCGCTCGTCGTTGAGGACGCCGATCAGCCCAGTGTCGCGGAGTGGAACAGGAACAACCTTCAGGCTCAGATCCTGCCTGGTGACCGCGTCGAGGAGGTGAACGGCCTGTCTGGGGATACTCTGGTGATGCTGGAGCAGTGCGAGACAGCCTCCCTGTTGCGCATCAGGGTCTGCCGGCCCGCTCTGCCAGGCTACCAGCGCATGCGCTGGGTCGTGTTCGATTGCGAGAGGCTCGACGGAATGGACGCCTCCGCTTCTGCAGTGTTCCGGAAGCTCGTTGTAGACGCGCAATCATGGGGCGCCACATGTCTTTGGACGAAGGTGGGCGAGGCCACGAAGTCCGCGCTGGGTTTCCGCGGAATCTTGGCGGACCACAAGAACCTGTTCGGCGGGCTGGACCATGCGGTGCACTACATAGAGAAATGTATTTTGCAGTACCGCCAGGAACAGCTCGACACATGGCTGCGCGTGCATCCTGGCCTGGCTCTCAGCTACGAACACACCTGCACGCTGGATAGCTTCGAGCCTTTCCGCCAAGTCTTCGAGACGGATGCAGAGCGCGAGGGCTTCCCATGGAGGTATTGTAGCAAAATCTCGATTGAGCGCTTCAAGACGGTGCTCTGGGAGCCTGGCATCGAAGACGCGTGCCTCTTCCTAGTTCACTCTGGCAAGGTCGCCGTCTACCGCGAGCTTCCGGACGAAAACGAGGACATCAGTGGCGACCTTGTGATGCCCATGGCGGTGTACGGGCACGGGTGGTTCCTGAACCGCGAGTTTTTGACGCACGCCCCGCCGCGCATGCACGCGGTCGCCATCGAGGACGGTGAAGCATTGTGTTGGTCCCAGGCCCAGTGGGTCAAGATGTCCCGCGAGAGGCCGCTGATGGCCGCGGCGATCGTGAAGGCGGCCATGCGGCAGCAGAGCCGCGACCTCGACTACTCCTCGCACGCCGCCAGCTTCGTGCTCGCGGATGGGCAGCTCGCGCCCCCGGCCCTGGACGGCGCTGCCCTGGGGACGCAGCCGATGAGGTTCTGGCAGTGCCGAAGTCAAGGGAGGGAAGACCACCCTGACCCCCATACCTGGCGGTTGCTAAACGGCCCTCGGCGTTTACCAAACAGCCCTGCCCAAATCGCTTGCCCTTGGGGTGCGTCTACGGAGCGGCTTTGCTTGTCGGGGTTCTTCTGATGAAGATGGTGCTGCTGCTCTCTAAGAAGGGGGGTCACCGATAAGAGGGTCACCACCTCCTGGAAATCGAGGAGGAGGAGGAGGAGGAGGAGGGACGATCGAGGATCGAGGAGTTTAGAAGAGGAGGAGGAGGAGGAGGAGGAGGAGGAAATCGAGGAGGAGGACGATGAGGAGGAGGGTCGAGGAGGAGGAGGAGGAAGAGGAGGAGGAGGAGGAGAAGGGACGATCGAGGAGCGAGGAGGTTTAGAACGCTCCTGGGCATCGGTGGACGTCCTGTGGGCCCGTTGCCTCGAGGGGGTGGCGAGCCCCCACAGTGGTGACCGCCTTCGGCACTGCCGGGAAGGCCGTTCCCGCCCCATGCCTCGACGGGCCGCCACGGGGGCCACCGGAGGCCCGCGCCGCACCTGCCGCGCGCTTAGCTGCCTCGATACGCCCGCTCTGAGACGCAACACGCACCGTGCTCAGAATGTCCGATTCAACACGTGGCGTGTTGGCTCAGCGTGTCGGCCCACGCCTTGGCGAACATACCGCATCAGGCCACGTGTTGAGTCCACGCGTTGAGCTCCGTGTCAATGCTCCACGTGTTGCGTGTTGCGTATCGGGGCAGCTGAGGCCGCACGAGCTCCGCCTGCACCTGGACCGCCTCTCGACCGCGCGCGCGCTGGAGCGCCTCGGCCTGTTCGCCGCGCCCGCCGCGGACGAGGAGCCCGCGCCGCTGCCCAAGCTGCCGCACAACCTGCGCGAGGATCCGAGGGGGGAGAGATGCAATAGTCCGGGAAACGTACGTCACCCAGCGCGTTCCACTACTCGCAAAGTGCATACTCGCAAACGTCCGAGCAAAAAACATATGGTTGCCTCGATGTAATGTATCGTGAATCCCCGCGGCGGATCCAGGCAATTTGCGAGTACTTACGTTGCGAGTAGTGGTGGAGCGCGCTCGGGCCAACCCGAGTCTCCCGAAGCCGAGTCTTACGTCTTGGCATCGCTCTGACGTGTGATTTTTTTCTCGGCGAGGTCGAGGAGTCTTTTGGGCCATCTTGTGCAAAAAAATGCACGCACGAAATGGACACATGCCGAGGGAACGAACATCCGAGCGATGGCGAGACGTCCCCCCGACATAAGCATCAACGTTCGGAGCTCCGCGCGGAGTTCTTGGGGGTCGGCGCTGGGCCTCTCTGGCGGCGCCTCCGGCGTCGCCCCTGGTGCGCTCCGCGCGGCAGGGGAGGGGGGTCCAGCGTCGATCCAAGAATCCCGCATGGGGCTCCGAACGTTTAGATCTGAGGCGTGGCTTGCTTCCGTAAGGACATCCTCTCGGCGTTCGACACCTTCTGCGAACGCGCGGCCGATGGGACGAAGCAGCTGGCCGCCGGCGACATCGGCCGCGCGCTCATGCTCGCGGGCATCTTCGGCACCGCGATGGACTTGGAGGAGACCCGTCCGCTGACGCGGACAGAGTTTGTGGCGTTGGGCCACCTGGCCTTGGTATCGCCGCTGACGGAGATGCAGCGCAGCAAGGTCGCGCTGCTCTTCCGGGAGTACGATAAGGATGGTTCCAGCACTCTCGATCGCACCGAGTTGCCCGCCCTCTTCGAGGACAGTTTCGCGATCACCCACTCCGATGAGGTCGACAGCGCCGCGCACGAGGTGGACTGCGAGAGCTACCGCGCCAACACCGTCTGCCAGGAGGGTGAGATCGACGAGACCGGGTTCCTATGGATCGTTGCACGCCTTGTGCGGAAGCACGAGCGCGACTATTTGCTGCTCCGCGCCATCCGCGAGCTGGCTGGCAACAGTAGCGGCACAGAGGAGATGCAGCTGACCGTGGACATGATGAAGCAGAATTCGCACCTGCAAGGGCTCTCAGACGAACAGTGGCAGGAGTTGTTCTGGGCCGTCGGACTCGATACGGGGCGAGGCGCCTCCAGGGGCAACGAGGTGAAGTTCGAAGCGATTCTTGCCGCGTTGATTGCGCAGGTGCAGCTGGAGGAGGGCTTGGATCGACCCGCGCGCAATGGGCAGCCAGAGCGGAGGGCACTTCTGCCGCCTTTCGAAGCTGACAGAATTAGCAGGCAACGATCAGCGAGCGGCAGGAGGAGGAGTAGTAGAACGCTAGAGGAGCCACAGTCGGAGCACTTTGGTCTTGCGAAGAGGATGGTGTTGGACCAGCGAATCTGCGAGAAGCGCATTCGACCAGTGAGCAGCCACCAGCCTGCGCTGTGCGAGAGCCATGTGCCGGTAGAGCCAGTCCCGACTCCTAAGTCGGCCCCGAGCAGCATCCCGAGAGAGACTTCCCAGTCGGACATCTTGGAGCAGTTCGAGCGTCATCATGGCGGTGGTCGGAGCAGCTACGCCAGCCAGCTCGATCACATTCCCAGTGCGAATCTCCGGAGGCGTCATAGAATCCTTATTCTGCTGGAGGAGCCGAATAGCTCCAAGCTTGCGCAGATCCTGTCTACGGTCCTGGCTGTCACGATCTGCCTATCCATGCTTGGGCTCTTCATGGAGACCTTGCTTGGCGAAGGAGACGAGGTGGGTTCTGTGACGTCGCCATGGTTTTGGGTGGAGTTGTTGTTCACAACGATGTTCACCCTGGAGTTGTTGGTCCGTTTCTGGGCCTGCGGTGCGCTAGGTGCCTCAGCAATGGCAGAGTTCTTCCTGAAGCCGAGTAATGCTCTCGACTTGATGAGCGTGCTTCCCATGTATCCAGCTGCCTCCGGCAATTCCGCCACCGTGCCAGCGCAGCGTTCTGATCGGCATTGTCTCGAGAATGCAAGGGAACCTCTGGGGGCAGGCAAGTGACAAAAACCCGGCCAGGCAGACCTTGGCATTCTTCACGCCTCAACGGGCACAGGGCACTGTGGCGGACTTCCACGCGCTTTTCCCGAACCTCTACATCGCAGAATTCCATCTCTTCCGCATAGCTCGCCTCGTGCGTATCTCGCAGACTCGATGGGTCAACAAACTCTCACGGCGATTCACCCTGTTGGGCCCTGTTGGCACAGTGCTCGTTGTCATCTGGGGTATTTATTTAAAGGAGACCTCGGGTGGCAAGAAAGGCGAGTGTTGAGCCCATTCACGTCGTTCACCAGCAGGATCGTGTGCGGCCCTCGTGCATTGTAATTCGCGGTGTTGTTCCTCAGCCTCGTTCTCTGCGCTAAGACGCAGGCGAGATCAAGGTGTGTAGGTGTACGCGGTGCCCATCTTCAAGCAGCGCAACACGCGCAGCACTGCGTCATGGCACGCCCCCTTGATCACCCTTTACTCCACCCCAGGGGCCGTTTCTTACTCGCTCGTCCTCCCTCGTTCGCCCTCTGCCTTCTTCCGTAGATGGATCGCGCACTCTTTCTTGGGCATCGGGTGCGAGAGTCCTGTGGCCCCGATGAGCGTAGAGCGGGCCACCAATCCGCTCGCGGGTAGGCTGGCTGCGCCCTCCACGGAGCACCCCGATGTAGAGCCAGAGCTAGCCAGGCGCCCACTATGCTGTCTTCTGGGAAGTCGACTTTGGAGGCACTGGTGTTGCCAAACAGGTGTGGCCGCTGCGCCGAGATGAGGAGCTGCAGTGATTGGAGCTCCATCACGGCTTCGCCCCTTGCCCCTCCTATTCCGCAATGCCGCGGCGTCGTAAGTTAGAGAGCTTGCGACGCGTGCGCGAACATAGTCCTACCAGTTTTCATCGTGCGAGTTTATTTCGGATCCTAATTTGTTGGCGATGCTTGAGCATGTCACCGCATGCGATCAGAGACGGATGAGAGCAAGAGAAACAACGAAACGCACCGCTGGGATTGGCCAGCTTTCTAGCCGCTCTGTCTGTCTCGTGCTTGCTCCCCCCGAGTGGAGCAGTAGTTGGTCGCGGAAAGTCGGTTGTTCGCGCCCTTGCCCGTGGCCCGTCTCTTCTATTCTCTCCTTCCCCTTCCTCCTGGGCTGCTGGCACGGAGGCGCCGTCGGCAGGGCGTGGCCAGGCCCCTGGCTCCCGACTGCTTGACGTTCGGAGCGCCTTCGGGGGCCTCTTGGGAGCAATTCTAGACGCTTCGCGTATCCCCACCAGCCCCTTGTCGCGGCCGCAGCCCGACTGTGATCGCTTGCCGCTGGCGCTTCCGCCTGCGGCTGTAAAACAAAAGCGTGTCCCCACCAGCCCGTCCAGAAACGACGCCCAGGCGAGTACTCTCCATGAAGGCCGCGAACGGTTCGAGTCCTCCCGTGTGAACAGGCCTCACACACTTCCCCCTTTCTCTCCCACACATCTCGCGCAGTCTCCCGCCATGGATCCCCCAGCCTGCTGAGGCTGGCCCAGACGCTCCGTGTGCGCCGCCGCGTGGCGCGGCGCTGCTGGAGGAAGACCTTGAATGACAACATGGCGACGATGCAGCAGTTTAGTACGACACAGCGAGAATGCAAAGTTCGTAGGCTGGAAACCATATTCACTAATTAGTTTCCCTGGAAGGACCGACTCCATCAGCCATGAGTTTCGCAACCAGTACGGTATATTATGTCCTGGCACACACATTCGACAGATCGCACAGCGACCACACCATCGTGGAGAATCCCGACACCATTTCTGGATACACTGGGGTTGGGGTCGGCCCCCACATGTCACCTCCGCCTGTGGATGCTCCATTGCGATATCTAAGCGACGTTTCTCTCCCAAACACGTGGTCAGAATTGCACCCCCGCCATCTGATTTACAGGGCCGTGCAGGCTCTATTGATATAGTACGAGGACATGTTCGAGTTAGACTGATTGTGGGCTACCTACCCCCAGTCCCACACAGTTCAAATGCAAAGATTACGGAACGGACATGCACACGAATTTGGCAGTGGATTACAAAAGATATCACTTCTACTCCGACGCGTATGACGCACCTTTTTTTTCGGCGACCTCAACCAAGGCATGGGGCGCCGCCATCGGGCACTATGTACTGACGACAGCATCGGACCACAGCAGCCCGCCCCAGAGACTACCGTAGGCACATCCATTCATGAAAGTCTCATCCTTAACCAGCCCTGCGCGTATAATACTTTCTGGAATACTGGGCCGATTTTCTTCGGCAATGGCGGTGCTCGCAGCAGAATTGACTATTGGATCGGCCCGATTGACGCGTTCCCTATCATCACGAAGCTCAAACTATGTTGGCGATATCATCAACGCCTGCGCGTCCTTCCCCACATGCTCGACCACATCCCAATGCTCATTCATGTTCAACTGACTTGCCCAACTTCATCTTCTACAGACCATGCACCACGATGGGACTGGGCCCTGCTGGCAGCAGGACTACAGACAGGATGCCGACGCGCTGAATTTCTACGTGACCTACATCAGCAGCTCACACAACACGCACATACTCTTCGAGTTCTAAAACACGACCAGCTCCCCGACCGACATGCAGCATACGTCGCATATCTGGTCCAGCAAGCAGCGATCCCTCACTACTCACGTCACGGAGGACATCCAGCTTGGCTCAAAGACGCTCAGCGTACACGACAAGAACTCCTTCGAGAACGTGCACAACTACGTGACAAAGGTATGGCGGTCGACGACATCCACCTCAAGCCCATCTCTCGCCGACTCCGCGAACATGCAAAATGGCAACGGGCATGGCGGCATCACTTTCTTGACGAACAAATCACTGACGCCTACCACCACCGCGATCTTTCACGAGTCGCCGGTATCAGCAGACTTCGTGCAGGCACTAAGGCAGGCCCGAAGAAACGTAATTGTTTGGCATTTCCGAGTGCACGGCCCGCATCTGACCACTACTGCGCCGCCCTCGGCAAGCCCGCTACCGACGGCGGCCTCGCGGCGGCACCTACACACCTCAGCATCTACGTCTCAAGTGACGCCGCCGCCCAGGAGCTCCACCAGCGCCCCGAGAACGACATCCACATCGTCGGCGAATACCGCGTGGACCCCACACTAGACTCTCTCCTCTCTGCGGCGCAGGACCTCGACGCTATGGCCAAACGACTTTGGACGAATAAGCATCGCAAAGATTCTCCTGTCTGGTCATGGCCTACTGAATTGACTACCATGATGTTATTCCCGACATATCTCAGCAGACCAGGACTTCCACGCAGCGGACTTGGATACGCACCCACCGACTATCCCAACCACCACCAGCTCCGACATGGACTTGGACACGCTACGACTCACGACGACCCCACAATTCCACCACGACGCCCACCACGACGCCCCGACCAAAGTCAGCTCATCCTTGACGACGACCACGCCCGAGCCCCATGCACCATGCTCACCCACTTACTCTAACACGTGCGCGACTCAGAAACCCTACCAGTTCAGTCCTACACCAGCCAGACCGTAGCCATCAGCAAGAAAGGCAAACACCCATGCGGAGATCCAGTCCACGACCTCAACAATTGCTTACGAATGCTGCACGTCTTCTGTCCATTCTGGCGGCTCTATCTCAGAAGCGGATTGGTTGATTTTGGCAGTACATACACACCCCCGCCATGGGCATATGGCGGCATCCGTGCTCGAAGACGAGAAGGGCTCATGACGCTCACACGCATCGCGACCTTCAAGCTACGCAGTGCACGCATCCCACACCTCGTGAAGAGCTACGACATGCGCAACGCCTTCGGCACAGGTGACACTGACCGACTATTGGCAGCATATCGAGTACGCACCGACGATCCCCACTTCGAGGACATGCTCACGCAACATCGACTCCGCGCCACCATGCGCATCGATGCCAGCGACGACATCACCGGACTCCACCCTGGCAGTGGAGGCCGCATGGGCGACAGTAACGAGCCCGAGCTCTTCATGGAATCTTTCTATCCACTCATCATTGACTGGGATGCAGAGCTCAATGCCGTCATTGGAGACGGCCTTATCTGCGCCAACCCCATCACAGGCACCGCCCATCGCATCGACATGGGCGCCTTCATCGGCGACATCGCACGTGTGATCATCGTCCCCGACGGCACACTCCGACAGGCCCTAGCAATAGACTGCATTGACGTCTCTATTATGAATGCCAAGCTCCGACATGGTGGATATGCACAGAATGCGCACAAGCAGGAGACATTAGTACGACTCGCTACCAGCAACGCCACCAAGCAGGCCGAACGACAGCTAAGCGGCACATGCATGACCAATCTTATCCATCTCGGCTCCTATATCCATGTCGATGGCTACAACGCCCGTGAGGTGGAGGAACGGATTCGAGCCTGTAACATGGGCTGGACACGGCTTACTCTTTTTTGGACCTCAGCCACACCAAGACGCTGCAAACGCTTCGTCTTCCTCGCCAATGTCGCGAGCCATGCATGGCCAGGCCTGGAAGCACTTGTACTCACCCGTGCCGAGACGGCACGGATCGATGCGAGCCTCGAAAAAAAAAACAACTTCGATGTATGCTCATGGGCGATGCACATTGTATCGACAGCGGCGGCCAGCATCATTCACTCACCACTCGCGAGTTGTTTACTGTCTGGGGCATCGCCCCCACGCCTCTTGAACTATGCGTTCGCCGTTTGAAATGGTGGCAGAGTATCAGTAAAGAGGCAGGGCATCACGAGCAATCTCTCCCAGGGTTCTTTGGACGGTGCCAGATTGAAAATCGTTATGCTTCGCAAGGCCTTCCCACCTCCGCCAATGCCCTCGCCGAGTCAGGCTCTCTCAGCACGGGCCCTAAAGTACACCCTTGGGCCCGCCAGCTCCGCGAGGACCTCCTCAGTGCCCTTGCAGCCCCCATCAGCGGCGACCTCCGTGGCCTCTGGGACATCGACGACGACATTCGGAAGATTTTCAGGGACCCCGAAATCCAGGATGCATTCCAGCTGGTCGATTTCAGCTACTTACGGCAGGCGTATGTCTCGCAGTCTTGGGCCCCACCAAGTCACCACTACTTGCCACCCGAGACCCCCCTGGGAGACCCCGACAGCGACCCCGAGGATCCGAA